TGTGTGTACTTGGTGCTCTGTAGTACTAGCAATATTTCATTTCAGAAATAGAATTTGCTTAAAGCTCACTATATATCTGGAAATATTCACTCCCATTTTATTTTCACATTTTTGGCCCTTGAGAGTAAATTAAGAAAATAACAAGTTCAACACAGGGTTGAAATTTGAAAATTTAAAAAAGATACTTGCAATAAAGTATATATGTAAATAACCATTGAGGGAGTGAACTGAAATATTTTTGAAAATTCAAATATATAAGAAAATCTCAAGGGCAATTTTTCTAAAGAAGCCAAAATCTTACAGTTTGATTTAAATTTATGTGAAAATAAAGTGAACCGATTCATGTTCTGCCTGATACTCATGATATTATTCGGAAGACATTCTTATTCAGGAATCTTTTATCTATTATATCGAAGAGTTTAAGTACCGTATCTGGGGGCTTTTATTACGAAAAAGAGGCTATGTCTGACATGTGGTGACCGTTTTTTGTCGGTGTAGATACCGAACAGGGTGACGACGATCAAATTGTTATGGAGGTCGACTCCCGAAGGGGGGTCGCCAAAGAGGAAGTCAAACATGAAAGCAACCAGGAAGACTTCATCGATTTGATTTCACAATTGGATAAATATGCTGAAGTGAAAGACAGAAAGCAGACAAAGCAACAAGGTATAACGTCAGCTCAGCACCTTTTATCCAGCATGTCTCTCGTTGCATGTTAACACCAGGGGATTTATAACGACGACAAATTCGTCCAAAATTCACATCACTAACTGGGATCATATGGCTTGTATACTTTGTGTTCTAACAAAACTCATTGGCTGAAAATCGTCACAAAATCCTGGAAATTCTCACGCCACTAACTAAAGATGTTCTCGTAATTACTGGCTTGGCTTCTATTCTTTGACATACTGTGATAATTGTACTCAAATCGATAACTTTATTTAGGTGAAGTTTCTTTGTCAGTGTGATTAACAGAGTAAAGATCTTGGTGTATATTACTTACACTTTATAACTTAATTATATTCTAATACACACTTTAATATAAAAACTAAAAACAGGAAATTGTCTGAAGTAAAATTAACAAAACTGATGTTTTTCAAAATTTTGGGTAACAAAGAAAAAATTACTTTATATATTAGGTGACTGTTTCCTATTCTTATTTATTTCCTTTTTATTTTACCTTTTGTGTAATTTTTATTTGTTTTATTTTTTGTGTCCTGCATAAATTTATGAAAAAAACAGGAGGAGACTCAATATTTATTTCAAATAAATTTGTCAATTTCTTTTTTAACAATAGTCAATATCCAAAATTTAAGTTAGAACCTGTTATATGATCATAAAAATGTGTTCAGTGAAAAGTATGACTTTAATCGCCATGGAGATAGCTTATGTATCGCCATTAAAGATCCCTGTACCACTGCCAAAAACTGTAACTACTGGGTTTTTTCAAGCACAACTTTACCTTGGATAAATAATTTCTGAAAAGAAAACCATACCTTGAGAGACTTTTATGAAAAATAATAAAGATGAAATAAGCAAAATATAATCAACAAAAGGGTTCTGGGTGTAAAAAGTGGCCGGACCGGGATTCAAACCCTTGACTTTAGATTGTTATACTATCGCTCTTACCAACTGAGCTACCTACCTAGTCAATGGAAATATCCTGGACCAACTGTGCTATAAATGTATCCACAATGAAATTAAAGGGAGGTTACTGTTATATGCAAAACCACAGTGCAGTGGGTAAAGGATCTTTAAGTAATCAAAAAAATATTTGTTTTTTTAAACCTTTTTAATTTTCATGTACTAACCATTACATAAATACTGAGGAATGAAATTTCCTCCTTCATTGCTTTTTCCTCATTTTCTAGAAAACTACACAGCACGCTTCTAAATTAGAACACAAAACTAACACATATACTAACATAAATAAAATACAATCTACTTCCTCACAATATTATTCTGAATTTAATGCATGTTAAGCTAAGTATCAATTAGAATGTTTATTGATAAAAAAATGTTATTTTTAATGTTGAAATTTTAATGTCAAAAGTATCATGCATACTTCAGAATGCATGGATAGAAAATCTGTACCAACTTGATCAGTAATGAAACTTCAGGCCAAATATCCTGTTTCAAAGGAATATGCTTAAAAATCAGTATTGTTGTTCTGAAGTATTTATTTTCTAAAGGATTTGCATAAACAATCAGTACAACTGAGAACATATTTCTTTATTGTTGACAGGGTCACAAGAAACAGAAGTTTCATTTAATTTGGCCTGATTACTTACTGTGATAAGTTTCTGTGTTACACTTCTTAGCCATAAGTGACTATTTTTATGCTTGTGCTTGAAATAAATGGAAATATTTTTCCAGCTATTGTAGGCAGTAGAGCTTCTCTGTCTCTTAATGATTGGTAATGTCTAAAATGCCTTTTTTTTCCAGCAGAAGCAGAAATATGTGACCCTTAATTATCTCCCTTGTTTCAGAATGTATTTTGTTTTTTGTTTTTGACATCATGTGATTTTCAGTTCATGACTTTAAGTTTGTATTCATGTGACCTTTAGTTTGATACAATGTGACTTTCTGTTTGAAATCATGTGACATTAGTTTGATATCATGTGACCTCGGCACACTTCAGATACGGATGATAGGCAATCTATCCAGGAGGATGAGCTCACACAAAATCGTCACGATCGTGATGTCGCTGCCTACGAATTATTTTCTAAACTGGAGGAAGTTGGTCAGCAAAGTGCTCCACAGCAAATGGCTACACAAAGCCAAGGTATTGAAGCACGGCTCCGTCGAGTTATCGTTGTAACCTTGGTATCGTGGTGTAATCTGTGGAATTTTTTTTTAACACATCCCATAATAGTTTTTTTTTTATTCTTGCATGTAATCAACACCATGTTAAAGGTCAACCAATACTAACAGGCATGATTGAAATTTACCATTTAATACTCCAAACAAAATATATAACTTCATATTTTTATTAATTACTACTGTAGTAATTATAAACAATTTTAAGCAATATAATGCTCATAAGTACATGTATACCTATTTAAGACATAATATGTTTCCTAGTTGTAAACTCAAAATTATAAATAACCAAATACCTGCAGGTAACTTAACATTCAATGCAACATATATGTGCACGCTTCTAACATAAAATTATATGACTTGCTGGAATTTAACAGTTAAAATGTTATTCCAAAAAATTTAAATTGATATATAACATGAAAAATAATCCTGTATAAAATTTCAAAATGTACACAAAGTGCAAGAATGTAAATGTAAAACCAAATACATATATACTTTGATAGAAAAGCCATCGAAATTTGCTTTCTTTTGTATGGTAATTTTATTAACATATTGAAATTTCTAATTAAAATTTTCTATTCAAATTTACACAATTTTGTGTGTAAAAGTAACTATTAAAACACCGTTAATGACATATTAATAATGTTAACCACATTTGATACATTGATTTCTCATAGAACTGACATTAAAATTTACTTTTATCTCTTTATAAGAACCTGATCACTTGAACAGTTTCAACAGTCTTACTTTTGTATAAACTGACATTTCTTAGACCCTCTTCGTAAACAATTCCTTCTCTGTTTTCCCTGTATAAAATGACACCTGAGAGTATAGGACTCCCTGTATATAATGACACATTTATATAGATGATTTCACTTTGCATAATGACACCTCTATAAAGAATTAAGTGTACAATGACACATTTCTAAAGGGTCCCCTCTGTAGTATGACACCTCATTATACAGAATTTTCTGAGTTAAATGTCACCTCTCTCCAGGGGATTCCCTTTGTATAATGACACCTGTCTATGGAGGATTCCATCAGATACAATGGCATCTAGCTATGGAGAATTTCCTTTGTACAATGTCAACTTTCCTCAGAGGATATAGTAACCCTTTATATAATGTCACCTCTCTTCAGAGGATTCCTGTATATAAACACTTGTCTATAGAAGATTCCCCCTTTTTACAATGACACCTCTCTATAGAGGATTTCCTTTGTACAATGTCACCTCTCCAGAGGATTCCCTGTATATACTGACCCCTCTCTAAAATGGAATCCCTGTATATAATAGAACCTCTCAATATAAAAACTCTGTAATACATTTGCCTTACAACTGTCACCCCCTTCATCATGGAGGATGTTTGCACACGTTTCTATTTCTCTGGTTCCCCTGTAGATGTCGCAGATGTGCACAGGTGTGGTGTGTTTGTTTTATATTGTCTTTTTCATCAATCCTGGTTTTTCCTTATTTCTTTATCATCTCTAACTTACCAGAGGTCTCTGATTTCTGTTTAATGTTGTCAGTATTTCTTGTGTTAGTGTGTCCTTTGTCTTTTGTTTTGAAGTAATGATGTTAGAATAATAAGTTTAGAAAATCTGATTTTTTTTTCTGGAAATAATATTTGTTGCTTGTTGGTGTTGTCTGATTTATGATATTAGTTGTGTGTTGTTTGAGTAGGGTACATGTGGGGGAAGTATGGTTGTAGCATTCAGGGGAGACAATCCATGTGTTCATTACTTCTTTTTCAGATGTAGATAATCATGTTTTTAATTGATATTTTCTAATTCAGGCGTAGATAATCAAATTATTTGACATAGAATTGATTTTCAATTTCGATAAATATTGCCTACAATTCATGAATCGAGGTAGATGTTCTTTTGTCTAATCTTTAGAATAAATTAAATTATTAATAGCACCATGGAAGAAAATTAATAAAGAATGTTATGTTACATTGTTTTGTATATGGTTTTAAACACAAACCAGAGGTACTTTTGTGCAGCGTTTTGGATAATATGGGTGTTGTTTTGGATTTGAGAGCAATTTTGGATTCTGTTGGTGGAAACAGGCATAACTGATAAAGGAAAAGTTTGGGTAGTAACTTTGGCAATATCTGAGGAATATATTAATTGGGGAAATAAAACGTGACACTACCTTTGGGATCTTACAGACACCGAGGACCAGGAGGGAACAAGGACTCCACCCCCGAGTCCCGTGGAGAAAAGTTTCCTCTCAGGTAGAAACTGGCACATAGTCGAATATGTATACTCACCTAGTCCTGTATAACTCTCTCACTGGTGTACAGGAGTCTGTCTGTGTGTCCTATGCTCCTGTGCGGGGCTAGTCTGTGCATCGCTGACTTGCGTTCTGTTTGACAATCTGTATATTAAGTTGGTGTGCTGTGAAGTTCTCTATGCTAATCAACAATGCTTGTCTAATTTCGTTGCTACTCTGTGTGTTTCTCTGAAGTGTGTCCGTTTTTTCAGATGTTTGCATAAAATATGTCTCTGAATTATATACGTCGTACATCTGATGTGTACTAATACTTCTATCATATAGACCTCCGGTAAAGACGCTTTTCTAATATCAATCTCTCTTAACGAATCTTTCATAATTTTCCCAATGATTTATCGACATGTATAATGCATTGCTTAAACAAACACTCTAAGGAACCATATGTCCATTAGCCCAAACCCAGCCGAACTCACTAAGATGGCAAACTTTTTTTCTATTTATCAAGTCCACCAAAATGCTGTTAAGTTCAATAGAGTTGTCTCCCTTCGTTGAACATACTATGAAATGGTTATCTCTACTTTAAAACCTGATGTCCGTAACTGATAAGAAAGTAAAGAGTTGTGGTTTTAATTCCAGTATAACTCATTTGTGAATTTCTTCTAATTCTTTTGTGCGAGAGAAAAGGTAGATTTTGACAGAAAATATTACAGATAAATGTCAGACTGTAATTCAGACAAAGATTTTAAGCTTATTATAGTCCACAAAGAAGTTTGCAAATTTACCCAGAATTTATGTAAACACAAGTGTTTCGGCTCGATTAAAAGTTTGATGGGAGTTGTTGGGAACAAGTGCATGATGTAGATTTTGTCTGGATTTGATAAGTAGAGTTAGGACTTGCTGCACGATACTGTATCTTGTCAGTTCTCTTAGAGAAGTGTAGATACGCAAATGCTGGACTAGGACCCGTGTTTACTGTTTTCATCAGGTGCTTTCTGTCCTTATATACTTTGTACCATAATGTACTTGTTATGTTCAGAAACCCAACCTATCACCGACACTGAATTTGGTATGAGCGAAGATCCTCCAAGTTAAAAATGTGTTTTTCAGAAGGGTAGCCATTACAAAGTCTTCAACATGATAATTATGGTTCAACAAGAAAAAAAATACAATTTTTTTGTTGATTTCATTTTCTCTGGCCAAATTTGAAGCATAATTTATAACAAAAAGGTCATTGTTGAAACTTACTTTAAAATTATGCTATTTCCGTAGCTAAATTTGTGTAGTACAATTTTTCTTTCCTAGAAGTAGGATATAAATTTAAACCTTGACATCAAGAAATGCTTTGTTGCCTGACAATTCTTCTTGTCCTTTCACTTGCTGCTAATCACACCTCCACAGGCGAGAGTTCTGTGCTTACTAATCTCGCGGAAACTGCAGATGAGTACGAGGAAATATACACGGAGGAGATTGAGGAAATTTTCCAAGAGTCTGATGACAATGGTAAAACGTGGAAAACTGTCAAAAAAATAACCACCATTACGCCGTCTGGTACGACGGAGCGAACCGTGGTTATGGAAGGTACTAAAAATAGCACAGCTTTGTGTAACGGGGACCGATCTCCACGCCGTGTTGTACAGCACTTGTGACATTGTCAATGGCACTTTTGAGGAAAAATCTTTTCCGCAATATTTTGGCCGAACTTTTCAGCATTGTCAAAAGAGGCAATGAACTGGGCAATTTTACCATTTATATACTCAATATATGTATTTATATATACTCTGTATACTGGGAGTGTTAAATTTAGCATGAGTTTAACCTTCACCTTTTTGACTCTCAGCAATGAGGGAAAATTTATCTTGACAACAAATATTGGTGCACAGCATATAATATACAGTAATTGTATTAGACTGGCCACCAGCCCCTAAGTTTTTATCAAGAATATCTCGACTGCATTTTACTACTAGCTTATCTCCCCCTAGTTAGGATCAGACATCCAAATGATCGAAATTATTAGAGTTAATTTTTTTTCTTAATTATTTAATATTCTAG